CACACACACACACACTCATTTTCATATCTTAGTGAGGACATCTAATTGACATTAGGCTTTCCCTAGTTGTTTACTCTAACCCTAGCCCCTATCCATCAAAAATGAATGCCTAACCCTTAGACTAAATCTAACCGTAACCTAATTGTAACCCTGACACTAAAACTGCATTTTGAGCCTCAAAAATGCCTTCAAACTTGTGAGGACGGGCATTTTGTCCCCATAAGTGACTGGTGGTCACCACAAGTATAGTGACATGCCAGATTTCTGTCCTCAAAAAGATGTCTAAACATGTACACACACACACACAGTTTGGGTTTACACCTTCGCTCTTCCCTGTTTTCCAGGATTCCAGTGCGATAACAAGGTGGTTGAGCTGCTGTCTGAGCGGTTCACATCTGGAGAGCTGGACATGCCCTTCCACGGCTTTTTGTCATGTGTCACCAGGCTGCGCAAGCTTTTTGGTAACACACACAAACACACACTTGTGTGTACATCTATCATCCATGTGCACTCTACTGTGCTATGTTAGCGCATCCATTACTGTTATTGTGCACAACTAATGCAACTCAGTGCAATCAGGCATGTAGACACGGTCAAGATGACCTGCTGAAATCCAAACTGAGCATCAGAATGGGGGAAGATTTTTGCTGGTAGTGTATTTGAGAAACCGTTCATGTACTGAGCATTTCCAAAAAAAAAAAAAACACCTCTAGGGTTTACAGAGAATGGTTCAAAAAAGGGAAAATATCCAGTGAGCAGCAGTTCCCTGCGTGAAAATACCTTGTTGATATAAGAGGTAAGATGAAAATGGACAGATCGCTTCAAAATGACAGGACAGTAACTTAAATAACCACTTGTTACAATGAGGGTATGCAGAGGGGCATTTCTGAATGGACAACATATCAAACCCTTAAAGCAGAAGACCACACTGAGAGCCCCTCTGTAAACTAAGGCTACAATTCTCACAGGCTCAACAAGGCTAGACAGAAGTTTGGAAAAATGTTGCCTGGCCTAATGCATCTTGATTTCTGCTGCAACATTAAGATAGTATGGTCACAGTTTGGAGTAAACGTCATAAAAGTATGGATCCATCCTGCATTGTACATCTATTCCTTATTGGTTCTCAGAGAAATTTAGAATTCAGCTTAAAACCCTGTCATTAACATATGTAGCCAACATGGACAGGCTTATATATCAGAGCCACTGAGCCACGTTCTTCAATCGCGATCACACTTTTTAGGCTGTTGGCTTTCACCCATTATTTTTGGCCTATTGCTCCACTGCCTAATCACACAAATCCAGGTGTGAAAACGGGTGTGGGTCACAATCAGCCAAGGTTTCGGGTGAACCCGCTGGGAGACCTTGCTCCACCTACCCACATGACTAACTCAGAACAAATGCTCCGAGATTTGAGTGGGCGTTAAGGCGTCTGGGAAGGGATGTCAAAACTCTATTACAAATGGCAGACAGTTGGTGTTGTAAGCCACCCCCTCACTTCAAAGAGGGTCGTTCACTCCTCTTTCTACTGATGGTTGCTTTTAGAAGGATAACACATCATGTCATAAGGCTCAAATCATAGAGCGCCTTTGGGATGCGATGGCCCAGGAGATTCACATCATGTATGTGCAGCCGACAAATAGCACCTTGTTGAGTTCGGGCCATAAAAAAATTAAAGGGGTTGTCAAGGAAGTAGAGGTCCAACGTGGTAAAAGTAAAGTGTACCTGATGAAGTGTCCAGTAAAATTAGAATATCTTCTTTTTTATTTATATATCAAGTGATGGTTCAATTAAGAAAAGCCCAGTTAAGTTACAGTGTACCTCCGCATGGCAATCATGCTTGTATAATGAAATAAGAGAGATTTTTAATAAATAGAAAAATGAATGAATTAATTAAAAACAAAAAGAACAAACAAGATATCAGCTATCGTGCCAGATGCCCTGATGTAAGTACTTGGTCTCAACTTGGCCACCTCAGTGAAAACCATCTGGCTCTGATGAGTCGAGTGTTGAGCCTCTGCAAATATATCACATGCGGTCATCTCCTCCCCTTTTCCCCCAGCTCTGTATGAGTCTGAGACCAGCCAGGAGGTGAAAGACAGAAGGATCAACTCTGTGAGTATCAAACATGCTCGGTTATGCACTGACCCCGGACCTGAACAGGCTTTTCATTTTCTGCTCGTGTCAATCCGCAGTGGCTGCTTCAGTTTCTGACAGTGTGACGGCGTTTCATGAAAAGCTGTTCCACACGGACCCCGATGAGCTACCGGAGAAATATGAGAGAAGCTGCTCTCGCTTGCTGTGCTGTTGTATTCTTGCATTCTTGCTTAACTGAGTAGTCCTACAATTTGTAATCAAATCCAGTTATGTTACTCCACATGTAATAAAAGCAGTTTTAGAACCGATATGTCCTCCGTGCTTTTGTCTTTTGCGTCAAACAGCGACAAAAAATGTTTTAAAAAGCTCTCACTTCCCTCTTTCAGAACATAAAGGTGTCAAAATGATTTTGAAATGGCAAAAGAAAATATGTTTCTAATTCTTACAATTGAATTAAATGGTACAGATGACTTCAATTACCCACATGGTGAAAAGAAAAACACACTTCAACCCCAACACCTTACTCATCCACTCACACACAAGCGTACCCTGAGATATATGCACTTATTAACACACACACACATTCAGAGCGAGTACTGCCTGCCCCACCGAGGGTGTGAGGGTGATGTCTCAGCTACACGCACCATCTCTATTCTTATCACACTGACGCCACGTACAGCGTCAACACACATTCGCCCCCTCCTCCACTACGTTCCCTTACTCCCTCCATCCATCCCTCACCCTTTCTCCACCCTCCTGTTCTCTCTAGTAAGTGTCTGAGTCTCACAATCTGCATCCTCCTCCTCCTGCTGGTACATGCTGGCTGCTCTCACTCTCTCTCTCTCAAACACACACACAGGTGCGCACACACTCATGCGCATGCAAGCGAGCAAATGTCCTTTCTACACATGCTGCTATTAATAGCCCCTTTACTCACACACCACCTCCTGTTCATCCTTAGGTGAGTACACACAGGTTGCCCTCGGCAACCGTCCATTTACATTGTGATAGAGAGAGGAGGCGACAAAAGCAAGGGAGAGGAGAGAGGCAGACAGGAAGGACCCATAGAGAGTGGTTCTTATGATTGCTCTCTGTGTACGGCCTCTTCTTCACCAACACCTACTTTATATAGTTATTTATTTATTTTCCTGCTTTCAAACCGTGTGGCTTCCTCTTATCTGAGTGTTTTTATCCTGGAGAGGGTTTATAAAACAAGCAACAAGAATCAAAACTGAGAGCATGCAGCCAGGTTTGCAGCTTCTGGAGCCTGCAGTGAGGCACAATGGTGCAAAACGACATTGTGCTAACAGAAAGACGATGTGTCATGCTGATGTTTCGCAGAAAAGTGAGAGAAAAACTTCATTTAGTTTGTAAAGAATGAATCAGGCAGAAGCTGATGGTTACTGAGTCCTTCAGCAGCACTGCATGTACCTGGGAATGGTAATTTTTTTTGAGGTTTGGATTCTTATTTTCTATTATTTGCGTTTACTGTTTTGCGTATGAAAGCTTTGACTTCCTGCTTTCAGATTATTCTTCATGTGATTAATTCATTTTTATTACATCATATTGGTTTCCATCTTTGGTTATTCGTACCACCTCAATTTTTCTTTGTATCGTCTTAAATTTGAGTTTTCGTGTCCATTTTGTTTCCTGTTAAACTTTGATAGTTTTCTCTGGTGTCTTGTTGCAGTTTTGACTTCCTGTTTGTCTGACTGCCTTGATTGTTTTCACCTGTTCTTAGTCACTTTCCCCTCTTGTGATTAATCCCAACTCCGTCCCCGGCAGTCTCTGTCTTAGCGTCTGTCTGGCTCCCCTCGTGTGCTGTTAGATTTTCAGATTTTGCCTTCAGCCGAGTAAAAGTCTTGCTTCCTGTTATTTTGTCTGCCTGAGTCCTGCATTCGGGTCCTCCTCACTTCACACTTCATGACAAATTTCCTCTTAACTCTCATCCAGGATTTGTGATATTTACTAAAGGACCACTTTACTCTCATATTGAACTGAGCCTCAATAAAGTCTAGGGTCGCAGACCTCTTCCTTTCTTTGTGTAACAGGTGGAGGAGCACACCTGTAGGCACTCGGTTAATTGTTTAAAAGGCTTAGTTAGCTAATATTAGCTGTTGTGTACAGCCGATAAGCATATACTTTTAGGTGTGGTTTGGGGCTAAACATTTCTCTTTTAAAGATTTGATCACTGTGTATTTCCTATCAGTTTAACTGAATCAAATGAATTTACCTCCGTGAACTTTGAGCCAGCTGATAACACAGGGATCATGAATGTGTGCACCAAAGTTCACGATAATGAAATATCTGAGCCATTTTACTCAAAACTGCAAATGTGAATTTCATGGTGGTGTGAGAAGAAAAGTCAGGAGGCTACACACAAGTGATGGGGATCCATTATCTGGGGACCATGATTTGTTTTTACTGATTAAAGTTTATTACATTTATTGCTTCAGTTCATAATTAGAAGACAGCAGATAAAATTAGAAAGAATAGAGAAAAAATAATTCATAAAATAGTAAATAATTTAAGTAAAATAACTAAAAATACATGTTATATCCAGATATATTCGGCAGTGGAAAAACAGTCATCATATATTTATATGGCAATTCTTCCCCAGATATCCGATCCCACATTTTCAGCATGTCGACATCCTGTTCAGTGTAGCCTTAATAAAATCTGAGGAAACCCGGCAAGCGGAGCACAGAAGAAGTCTCGGACCTATAAAACTATATTCATGAGATGAATAGAAACCGAAGGTCACGTCTTTAAGCGCAAGAGGGGAAAAACCAAGCAAAGACCTGACCCAGGACCACTTTCTGATAACTGAAGCCTCATCAGAAATGGTCTCAGTGGAAGAGTGGCTGTCAAAGAAACTATTCTTAAGACAGGAAAACGGGGAGAAAAGGTCGAAGTATGCCACATTATACAAGAATTGGACGGAAAATCAGTGGCAGCGGGTTTGATGGAGTGATTTTTGGTTCATATTGCCATCAGTATATACTGAGAAGGTCAAGAGAGAGGTACAACAGTCAGAGCACACAGCCATGTCTAAAACACGGTGGAGACTGTGTCATGGTTTGGAGCTGCATTTAAGATAGTGCTGTTAAAGATCTCAACAAAACTGATGGAATTATAAACACAGAAAATTATGGTCATATTTTGAACCACCATGCAGTAACATGTGGAAAGCATCTGATGGGCAATCCCTTCATTTTTCAGCTTGACAATGAACCCAAACACACAGGCCAAGGTAGTAAAAGCAGACCTGGATAGAAGAACACAGAGTGAAACACTATCAGTCATGGATTGGCCTCCCCAGAGCCCCGACCTCGATATTATTGTAGCATTGTGGGATCATCTTGACAGAGAACAGAGCAAAAAGAAAAAAGCCAATATCCAAAGAGGAGCTTTGAAAGTCTGGAGAACTATTCCTGAAGACTACTTAAAGAATTTACAGGAAAGCCTGCCTAAGAGAGTTCACTTATATACTGTATTAGCACGTTGGTTTACATGTTTTAATGAATCGCTGCACCTATTTTTCATTTTCCAAAACAAACTACAAAGAAATGAGGGCTGGCTCAAGACTTTTGCACAGCACTACAAGTACATTTCTGTTCATTCTTCAATAATTACAGCTTTACACACATTTTTATTTCCCTGAGACACCCACGAGGCAGAACTGAGATAACCGTTAAAACTTTAACAAATCCCTAAAGGCCTTAAAAAGGTAATGAGCACTAACCTTTTTAGAAGTTATTCTGATTGATTTGGTATCTCTAATGATCCTTGTAAATATTGTGGCACCACAGCCCACACTTCCCGAGAAGAGCAGCAGCTCAGGCGGGAGCCTTCATATCAAGATAAAGAGAAACAGTTTGCGGCTGATCTGCCAGGATAAAACCGTAAACTGTGTCCTCTTCCTCGTATAAAGTCTGTATTTTCTCTGTTGATTCTTCTCTCTCGACAGCAGCTGTGCTCATCCTTCCACCTGCTCTCCTCCCCTCTTTTCTTCACGCCATCCTCCCTCCTCTCCCCCCTCAGCTGTCCTGTGGGATGTGATGATGCTCTGACAGGCTTGGCGTCTGTTCTTGGAGGTGCTGGTATTTTTGTGCCACAACGACGGGGGCTGGTACAAGAATAGTGCCGAAGTTGTAGTGTATAGTGTGGGGGTGGGGATCTGGGGAGAGCAGGGATGCTTTGAGAACTGTGAGATTTTTAAGCCATTGTATAGACAGGAGGGAGACCAGGGAGGCTTGCGTAAGTTGGCTCACTGGGTGCAAATTTAGACTGGGTTTGCTCACGCATAAATCTGATGAGCAGTACTATCTCAGTCGTCAGAGCTGCGGTATTTTAAGACGCGAGTGTATGCTGGCACGGAACGTGGGGCATATTTATTGTGTGTTTATTTACAAGTCGTGAAGAGTGACAGCTGATAATTTGAGAGGCAAAGATCAGGATTTGCATCTACATTATGCACCTCTCCCCTTTCCGTTCCTCTTCCTGTTGTTGCTATTTATTTTCTAAATGGCAAACTGCTATAGATGGTTGTCCAGGTGTTTCACAGTCACTGACTCTGGCACAGAAATAATGAGGTGATGTAACATCTCACTCAGACTCCCTTTCTATTGCGCCTTCACTTCAGACAGCAAGATTAGAGCTTTCAGATGAATTTATGGATTTTTAGCTTTTCTATTTTTCACTTTTTTTATTACTTCCATGTGTAGGTGTCTGTTTGGGCAGTAAAGTTTAAATTCTCTGCTTCACAGTGTTTAGAAAAGTCTTTTTTATGTGAGGTAACTTAAGGTCGGAGAGTGCTGCAGCAGAAAGGGATTTATAGCAGGAAAAGGTTAATTTTGTGCAAAGAAACTGGAATCCAGCTGTTTTAATAAGACCAGTATTATGCGAACTGGGTGATTTCCTTAGAATGTAGTCAGTTTATTTAAATTAGTTGCCCTTTAGTCGTTAAGAGGTTATTGAAACACTTTGAATTGCACTGTTACGGAGAATAAAAAGTCAGCACCAAATCCAGCAGCTGAGTGTTGTTGAAATAATATCAAATAGCTGACAACCACTTCTCATGCTATTATTTGCATGCAGGATATTGCTTTCTCTTTTTCACCTGCAGCCAATAAACTTTTTGTATAACAAACATTTTGATTTTGCACACGAGTGAACAAACAGGCTCAGTTCAGGGTCCCAAAATATGCCATGACAGGATAGCGACCATTCAGTTCAGGGTCCCGGTGTGGGGGGTGGAGCCTATCTCAGTGGTCACAGGGTAAGAGCCAGCTCCCTACAGCCAGTT